CAGGAGAGGGGAAAAAATAGCCTAGCAGAGCTGATTTTCATAAGCAGCCTGCCATATTGCTTCTGCAAGTAATTACAGACTCATATTTTAATGGTTAGATGTCTAAGTGCTTGCATCCATTTATTAGGACGTTGGAGATCTAACTACAACAAAAGGTGTGCAAACTTGCAAAACTGGAAGGAGGTTTGACGTGCTTCAAAAATTGATGAATCAATCAACAGCTGGACTCCTTTCCAAAAGTTTATGGGAACAAAAGAGTCCTGGAGTAGCCCATGAGATAAGATGTTTCAGAACTTCTGGGTTAATGTGAAAGAAACAATGTACTCCTGATGGGGTTTCATAGCTCTACCAGGAATGCACAAAGGGGGCTGGACTGTAGGCACACTGTTTGCTGTCACTGCCTTACTCAGGCATTACAACTGCTTTGGCATCTCAATTTAAGGAGACAAACTGTTCACTTTGTCAGCAGTCTGGGACTGCTGTGTGCTGACTGCCCGTGTTGTCTGTGGTGACACCCACCTTGTGCCCGGTGCCTGGAATAGGAGGTCTGAAAGTGAGAAAGAAGATGCCTCTTTTGAATGATTTGAAACCCCGTGCCCAGGGCTGCAAAAGCAGCATCCAGCATAGGTTACCAAAGGCAACATTCCTCTTCCTCCCTGTTCTACAGTGTTGCTACCCAGGGCAGTACCAGGCCATCTCTGCTCTGAAGAAAGCCTTCTAAGACAAAGAGGCATGAACCGCTGTCACCTCTTTGCCAGAATAGAGACCATTATGAAAAACAAAAGATTCAGTTTCAGTGAAGGGGTGTGGGATGAATTTTAGAAATGCTGTGCAGCTTTTACAAAATATTTGGGGGATGTCTGAGAATGAGGAAGAGTAGGACATGACTCAGTATGTGTGACACCCAGCAGCATAAGATCCTTTCTATTACTCATGCAGGATGGAGCGGAAAAGATCTGTCAGTAATGTTCAGTTTATACATGGTTTTCACTTAAGTACTTGACAGAAGAAAGTTTCATTGCTTTATTTAGTGTATTTTAGATACAATAAAGGATACTTGCTACGTATGTGAAAAACTATTCATCTCTGTGTCTGGCTTATTAACGTACCAGAAGCTGGCCCTTGGGACACAGTGGCCTGACTCCCATGTAAAGGGTCATCAGAGTGAGCACAAACACAACAGACTCTTATTTTAAATCCCTTTTATATTGCCAGTGCGATGCAAAGTGATTGTGAAAATAAGAATTAGCCCATTTTAAATGTCTATAATGCGATAAAAAGTTGCTGACCGTTACTGTGTCATACTCCCCCTCAAACTAAACTTTACATACAAGGATAAATGTATTCACAAATCTTAGCTGCTGTTCGCACACACACAGAGAAGTGAAAATGTCATTTGAAGTTGTTCACTCAGCTGGGAGACTCTCCCCACCCCCATCTTGTCTCCTGCAATTACCCTTTGCCCCTTCCCTCCAGCAGCTATTTCTTCCTAGCTGTTATATTTCACCATCCTTCAAAAGACAGCGGCCCCGTTCCTGCTGCCCATCAGATGTGGTGAGCTAGACCTGACAGAAAGCCATCACCCCGGGGAGGGTTGAGTCTCCAGGGTTTGCAAAGGGTCTCCTCCAGTGCTCAGTCTCTGCAGTGCTAAGGGTTACTGTTTCTCTCAGCTCAGCAGAAGCAAGAGATCCAAAGTGGTCTTCATCCCGCCCATTCCTGCAGAAGCGTGCCCTTTCCAAGTAGCCAGATAACCTTCAAAGGCAGGCTGAAGCTTTAATGCACCGCTAAGAGCCGTCTAAAATGAGCAAGTCAGCCATTTTGCAGCCCTACAGCAAGACGGAGGCAGGCGCTCAGCAGGACAGGAGTGGAGGAGCAGCAGCCAGTGAGGCAGCAGGAGAGGTAGCCTGGGGCTTGCGAAGTGGAGGCCACTGCTGGGTCATTCACCACTTACAAAGACAGAAACATCATATGAAGAATCCACAGGGGTCTGGTTGGCTTTCTACGTCCCTGGGAGTTGCCTGATGTGCATTGTGCATCTGCTTGTTCCTGGCAGCTTTTGAAGTAGAGAAAATGGCCAGAGAAGGTTTAGCAAACTATCAAATGGGTTTTCCACTTTATCTCAGGAGAGAGGAAATGAGACAGCAGAGGGGGATTGATTTTCCTGATGAGTTTGCCTCATCAACTCAATAAGCAGTTTACTTGTCTTCCTCTCAAGGTAAACAGAGCGACAGTGTGTCTCACTGTGCCCTTCAGGACCTTTTCTGTTGCAGAGTTTGCTCAGTTTTCAAGTCAACCCTCATGGAGTTACTGGTTCATCACAGTAATGCTGGTGCCTCACCCACCATGTCACTCAAGAAGAGATGGCTTGACTGAGAGTTACAAGTCCACACTGTAGAGGCACAGTCTGTTTCCTAGTCCTTGTCTTGGGGACCATATGTGGCAGTGGTGGAGCCTTTGGAACATATGTCACATGTAACATGAACTGACAGCCTAAACTGAAGTCACTCCAGTTGGGTACAAAGGCTACTTTAGGAGCAGCTTCCCTGTTTATATAGGTTTCAGATGACTTCATTTTTTAAAAGTGCATGGAGTGCATCCAAAGCAAATAATTTTTCTGTGGTGAATGGGAAGACCAAAAGGAAAAGTCTGGAGAAAGGAGGATAGATGGTCTTTCTTTAATGTCAAAGCTGACATAAACACGTCTCCTCCAAACCCTTCTCACAAGATAATTTTCTCAGCAAGACACAGATTGCTTCAATCTCTGTGTAGCAGCCTTTGAAGCTTCCCCCTTATTGCTGTCATGGAGGAGGCAGGGTTGTCTTTGAGAATTTCTGCAACACTGAAGTGTTCCTTCTCCAAAGGCAATCCGATACACAATCCGATAGTTGGTTGCGCTGAACAGCTCCCTCTTTGGAACTTCTCTGCCATCACACAAGGGCAAACTGATATGTCCATTTTGCAAAATTAGTAAATTAAAAAAACTAAAAAGGCTTCACTAAAAATATTCTGACCTGCTCTATGAAGGCCCTCAATTTTCATTAGACAGGGGCCCAGCTAAGAAGATGACGAATGGTGTTGGAAAGGAGCCACCAATTAGGAGACATCAATTTTTCTGTCAACAGGATAACCCCTTTTGCAAAACTTGTCATATGTTTATTCCTTTTCTGTTCGTGAAGGTATTTGTTTGGCAGGGATATTTTGCATGAAGGGAGGAATTTATAAATTGTTTTTTTACGGTTGTCATTGCTGCACTGTTTTGAGTTCCTGTCGTGT